TACCTGTGGTCATGTTGGCTCTGGTTCACGGTGACCTTACGCATAGCAGAATGAAGCTGCGCCCAGGCCTGCGCCGTCTTTGTGAGTGTGGGATGTTCTAGCCTATTGTTGGGATTTGTGTCAAGCCATCTCACTAAGGGTTTCCCATTTTTACCAACCGTCTCCTTTACCAAACACGATGTCCCCGTCCACACTGATCCTTCCTGATGATGGATACAAAGTGAGCGAGCCGATGTCTCATGCTCATCGCCTGCCAGGGACGTTGTGGTTGTGTTTCTTGTAAGACTGACTGACTTCTTTATTCTGCCAGTCAATGGCATCTTGAGTATTCTATGCAAGTACCACACTCCGTGAAGTACCGTGTAGGGCCCAGAGATGAAAAAAGACCTCAGTCTGTCCATCGGGAACCACCAGTACTGAAAGAACGACAGCGCTCACCACTCAAGTCTCTGTTAGTTGCAAGTCACAGAAACATAACAAACTGAGACCCAAAAAAAAGCTGGGGCAGGATTTATTCGTGTACTGGAAATTTCAGGGACTAGAGCTTCAGGCAGAGCTGCATCCAGGTGCTCAAACCAGGGACCGGGCTTAGGAATCTGGCTTTATCCTTATGCTATGGTGTCACTTCCAACCATGGTGGCCCTGTGGACACAGGACAGAACACTGCCAGTCCTGTTCTCTCCTCACAGTTACGGTTATATTTGAGCCCACCGTTGAAGCCACTGTGTGAAACCACACTGCCAAAAACCCTTCTCTTTTTCCTGGTCCCTTTTCTTCACCAAACATGATGTCCTTCTCCAGGACTGGTCTCTCCTGACAACATGTCCAAAGTGCATGAAAGAAGTCTCACCATCCTTGCTTCTAAGAAGCATCCTGGCTGTACATCTTCCCAGAGAGATCTGTTTGTTCTTTGGCCATGCACTGTACATTCAGTATTCTTCACCAGCCCCCTAATTCAAATGCAGTGTTGTTTCTTTGGTCTGTAGTCAGCGTCCAACGTTCACATGCCTGTGAGGCGTTAAAAATGCTCTGGCTTCAGTCAGGTACACTTGAGTCCTCAAGGTAGCCTCCTTGCTTTTCAACCCCCTAAAGAGGTCTTGTGCTGCAGATTTATGTACATTGAGTAAGTATGAGATGATATGACCCTGATGCACACCGCTCGTGATTATACCTTGCAGCATTCCTCTGTTCTGCTCAAACAACGGCTTCTTGATCCATGCACAGGTTCTGTGTGAGCAAACTTACTCATATCCTGGAATTCTACTCTTCGCAAGGCAGGCTATCCATAGTTTGTTACGATCCACACCGTCGAATGCCTTAGCTTAGTCACCAAAACACAAGTAAATATTTTCCTAGTTTTCACTGCACTTAGCCAAGCTCCATCTGATGTCAGCAATTGTGTTAGTCCAGGTTAACCAGAGAAACAAAGTCACTGACACAGGTATGTATAAGAGAGAGCTTTATGTCAAAGCGCAATTGTATATTGAGAAAACATCCCCACCCAGTCCAGATCAAGTCCACAAGTCCGATATTAGCCCCTATGTCCAATGTTAGTCCATAAACTCCTCTACAGACTCATGCCGAATGCAGGAAGATCACAGGCCTGTGGGTGGAACGTCTTGAGGATCCAATGCTGGTGGAAGCATCTCGGCACTGGCTCGGGTTTGCACGTGGCCCCTCCAGCTCTCTCAGTGTCCCAACAGCATTAGACTTGTGCTCTCTAGTGAAGCAGTGAGTGTGTCTCACCTCTTCTGGTCGCAGAATCAAGAGAGAGAAGTTCCCAGAGTCCTCATGAGAAGGCCACGCCACACACAGGCATTATTGGCTATGGCCTGATTGACAGGCTAGATTCCACTCCTTCACACATAATACCCTCTAGGTGTAACTACCACAGCAATGATATCCTTTCACCCTCTTCTGAATCCAGCCTAAATTTTGGCAGCTCCCTGCCAACATACAGCTACTGCTGCTGTTGAATGATCTTCAGCAAAATTTTACTTGTGCATATCATTTAGTATTGTTACATAATTTACACATTCTCGTGGGTCGTGCTGCTTTAGAATGGACACAAAGATGGATCTCTTCTAGTGAGTTGGCCAGGTAGCTGTCTTCCAGATTTCTTGGCGTAGATGAGTAAGTGCTTCCAGTGCTTAGAAATCTCCGCTGTGGGTCCCGTTACAAGTTCTGCCTTCCAAACATTTACACATATTTCAGACTTGTTTTTTTCCAGTATATCAAAAGCACCATCTTCTGTCTACTGTCCAATCACATGTTCATCTTTTCATTGTACCAGAAAAATATTTAATGTTCACATTTATAGCAGCATTGTGTTCTTGTTAATAACGTCTTTCATTACAGCTCTCAATTCCTCCGGAGGCTACATCAGCATCACCTTTAATGTCCATCAGTCTATCCACAGTCTCTTCGAGGCAGACCAGTGCTTTACTAGGAAGCACATAACAATACCTGTAGTCTCTATTCATTACCCAATGCCACAGCCACTTCCATGGTTTGTGTTAGGGCAGCACTCCACTCCCGGTACCAAATTCCATCTTAGTTACCTAACGCTGCTGTGACAGACATAGAGCTGGCTTCTGGGGCTTTAACAAAGCTTAGGAGACTGGACGTCTGAATTCAGGGTGTTGGTTCTAAGGGAAAGTTCTTTCTGTGCAATGTATGGGGACATCCTTCTCCCTTTTAGCTTCTCTCCCTTGATTGCTTGGTGAATGGGACATCTGTCTTTCCCCATCTTTGCTTCCTGGCTTCTGTACCTACCGGTAATCTTACATACAAAGTGATTGAAGACTCATTCCACACGGTTGGGCCCATGAACATACCAAAGAAAGCGCCCTTTCCACAAACAAAAACTCAGCCCATCGCTGTTGGCGCGATTCCCATGTGTAGTGACTGTGGGACAGAGTGGGACTGCTTCATTGGGGTTTCCCAGGCTGTACTCTTTATTTAATTACTTATTTTAAATCATTTTATTGGGGCTCGTATAACTCATCACAGTCCATCCATCCATCCATTGTGTCAAGCACATCTGTACATTTGTTGCCATCATCATTCTCAAAACATTTGCTTTCTACTTGA